AAAAGATTTATCTGAGAAAGAGAGAGAGAGCACGAGTGGAAGGGGCAGAGGGAGAGGGAGACAGAATCTCAAACAGACTCTGTGCTGATCATGGAGTCTGACGTGGGCCCCATCTCAACACCATGAGATCACAACCTGAGCTGAAACCAAGAGTCAAATGCTTAACCGACTGTGTGCACCACCCAGGTGTCCCAGTTGTGGAGTTTAGCCTGGAGGTAAAGATGGTTAGGGTTGGGGAGCTCAGGAAAGGGAGAGGCCAAGAGTTGAATGGGTCACCCAGCAGGAGCTCTATGTCCTGACATTAATCTGTCCTCAGGGGGCAGCACGGTGCCATCAACAGGCTCAATGCACTGAATGCATGGAGAGTGCAAATCAAACTGGGATAATTCACTTCCATTTCCGCCCCTTCTCCAAACTCCCTGAGGTGCAGATGCTGATTTTCGTGGCCTTCCTGATCATGTACCTGGTCAGCATCAGTGGCAATGTCTCCATTTCTCTCATCATCTGGATTAACCATTCTCTGCACACCCCCATGTACTTTTTCCTGGCCAACTTGGCAGTTCTGGAGATCTGCTACTCTTCCACCATTGCCCCCCTGACTCTGGCCAGCATCCTGTCCACGGAGAGAGACTTCATCTCCTTGCCTGGCTGTGGTACCCAGATGTTCTTCTTCACCTTCCTAGGCAGCGCTGACTGCATTCTACTAGCTGTCATGGCCTATGACAGGTTTGTGGCCATCTGTCACCCTTTGCGTTACACTCTCATGATGAGCTGGCGGTTGTGTGTCCAGCTGGCCCTGGGGTCTCTCGTGCTGGGGTTCATCTTGGCCATGCAGCTGACTGTACTCATCTTCCAACTCCCCTTCTGCAGCAGTAAAGAAATCAGCCTGTTCTATTGCGATGTCCTCCCTGTCATGAGACTGGCCTGTGCAGATACCTGGGTCCATGAGGCCACGCTGTTTGTGGTCAGCATCATCGTCCTCACCATCCCCTTCCTGCTTATCACTCTCTCCTATGTCTTCATCGTGGCTGCCATCCTGAAGATCCGCTCGGCAGAGGGGAGGCACAAGGCCTTCTCCACCTGCTCCTCCCACCTGACTGTGGTCCTGCTCCAGTACGGATGTGGGGGCCTCATCTACCTGTGCCCCAGCTCCAGCTACTCTCCAGAGAGGGGCCAGGTAGTGTCTGTGGTTTATACATTCATCACCCCTGTGCTGAACCCCTTGATCTACAGCATGAGAAACAGAGAGCTTAAGGATGCTTTGAAGAGAACAATGATCAGATTCCTGTTGTCCTAAACACAGTAAACATTCTGGATGTTCCTCTCCAACATTGCTGGGAAGAAACAAATGAGTATGCTTTCTGGAAGATGAGGAGGTGGGAGCTAAGAGGTCATTGGATTTATACTGTTACTTCTTCCTGGTTATATTATTTCTGAGTCATTTTTCTTTTCTCAGCCTCGGATTCTTCATTTCTAAAATGGGGATGAAAATGCCCACTAGACTTAAATCTGGGGTAGTTTTGAGGACCCAAAGTGAAAATACTTCGTGATTTTTAAAGAGCAATATGGTAGTGAATGTGGTCATTGCTTATCCTCATCATTACATGTAAAGTCTGTGTCCGGTTCTCAGGTTCTTAGTGGGGTCACATGTTGACACATGTACTCAGGGCCAGAGCCAAGAACAAGATGCACAGCAAACCAGGACCATCGCAACCACTCTCTGCTGATTGCCGTGGTGCAAATGCTGAGCTTATACCTTTTCGAATTCTCTTTCATCCTAAATTCTTCTTCCTGGGAAAGGTGATGGGGAAAGTGCTGGAGTTTAAAAGTTGTGGTTCTTTTTTCTTACCTTTATACCCAGAGCTAATCTGTCTGCACCTCAATCTCTGACTCTGTATTAGTTGTTAGTCTGCGTCTAACTCACTCTCCCCGTGCCTTTTGGGTCTCCTCCCCATTGTGTCCTTTCTGTCTCAGATACACACACACACACACACACACACACACTCACATGTTTCACATTTCTCTCTGTCCCTAGCTGCTATGGTCTGATTATTTGTGTCCTCCTACCTCAGGTTCATCTGTTGAAATCCTAATCCCCAATAGGATGGTATCAGGAGGTGGGGCCTTTGGGAGGTAATTAGGTCTTGAGGATGGAGCCCTCAGGAACGGGATTCGTGCATTCATAAAAGAGACCCCACAGAGCTCCCTGGACCCTTCCGCCATGTGAGGATACAAGAAGTCTGTGACCTGGAAGAGGTTCCTCACCCAACCCTGACCTCAGACTTCCAGCCTCCAGAACTGTGAGAAATAAATGTCTGTTGTTTACAAAGCCACCCAGTCTATGGTACTTTGTAGTGGCAGCCCGGATGGACGAAGACACGAAGTGTACATACTATGGAAAGATTGCCTTTTAAAATTGAGCCTCTCTGGGTAGGAGAGGGGTAATGTTGGTTCAGATCTGGATTCAGGTTGAGGAAAAGCTAGTTCTGTGAAGATAAACACTGGCTGGACACAACGAGGGGAAAGGACTCTAATGTGGCTGTGAGCAGGAGGGTAATTGTTTCAGGACGATCCCTGTCTCAGGGTAATGGCATCAGAACATGAGAACATAGATAGTTTACTGTCTTTTTGTAGGGTGGGGGAAGCTCATTTACTCCTCTGCCCATTGATTAGTGAGGGATTTATTGGGGTGCTTGACTGGCTCAGTTGGTGGAGTGTGCGCCTCTTAATCTCAGGGCTGTGAGTTCAAGCCCCATGTTGGGTGTGGAGCCTACTTTAAAAAAATAAAAATAAAAAATTATGAGTGATTTATTCATTCAACAATATTTAAGAAGATAGTAAACAACTATTTATGGAACTCTGCTATGTACTATGTACCCACCTGCGGTAGGTGGAGCAAGAAGTGGAAAGGTAAGTAAGAGGCAACTCCTGCCTTGAAGGAGGTTAAGTCTAGTAGTGTTTAAGAACACAAACCATGATAGCCCAAGGGCAAGCGATACAATGCTATGAGCTTCTGGAGGAGGGACAGATAAAGGAATCAAGGCAAGTGTGATGGGGGAGGTGGCATTTGAGCAACACCATGCAGGTGTCCAGGTCTCCCTCTGTGTACAAAGAGGAGCAGGAAGGGCATTTCTTTCTTCCTTCTTCTTTCTTTTTAAATGATTTTATTTATTGAGAGAGAAAGAGAGAGAGAAAGAGAGTGTGCCTGCTCGTGTGGGAGGGGGGTGGGGGTGGGGCAGGGACAAGCAGACTCAGCTGAGCCTGACAAGGGGCTCAGTCTCATGACCCTTAACTGACTGAGCCATCCAGGTGCCCAGGAAGGGCATTTCTGAAGGGGGGAATTGTAAGGGCAGAAGAATGAGCTCTTTGTGCCTCTGTTTCCTTATCTGGAAAAGTCTAAAATGTCTGCTACATTTTTTTTCTTTTCTTTTTTTTTTTTCTGAAAATGTATCGCAGGCTTAGAAGCTAGAAACAATGACCAGGATTCATATTACATGGAACTGAAATGTTCCCATCTTCCTTTGAAAGACAAGAACCTGGGGCACCTGGGTGGCTCAGTCGGTTAAGCGTCTGCCTTCAGCTCCAGTCTTGATCCTGGATTCCCGCGATCGAGTCCCGCATCGGGCTCCTTGCTCCGTGGGGAGCCTGTTTCTCCCTCTGCCTGCCGCTCCCCCTGCTTGTGCTCTCTCTCTCTGTCAAATGAATAAATAAAATCTTAAAAAAAAAAAGAAAAGACAGACAAGAACCAGAAAGGATCTTCTTTGGTTCACTTACGGACACTTGCTGCCCTTCCCGTGTCCTACTGCGCTATTCCCCTACGTCAGTGTTATTTTCTGGACACGAGTCTTGTTGAATAATTGGTGTTTGGGAGAAATAAACTTTCTATGGTCAAACAAGTGTGAAGAGTACTGTGCTGATCAAACCCCAACCAGTGGTCTCCTACAGGTTCACTTGGTGCTTGTAACGTGCAAATGTGCAGTCAGACTCTAGGATGAGGGATCCATTTCTCTGATGTTTTCTGAATTCTGTCACCACTGAACTCTTCTCTTCCTCACCCTGTTGAACCTGCTGAGGCTGACTGACTACCAAGAGGGTGGTTTCACTAGTGACTGAAATAGTCCAGGCATTTTTCAATTCTCTACACTCCTTAAGAAAAACAAGTGTAGTTATCATGGGTTAATAGGCTTCTTCTCAAGGGATTGCATTAGGGAATTAATGATTGCCCATTTATCGTCACAAAAACCCATGAGACGACCCTATTGTTTTCTCTGCTTACAGATAAGGAAACTGTGACACAGGGAATTTCAGTAACGTGATCAAGGTCACACAGCCGGGACAGGCAGAATGTGGGATTTGATGTGCATGGTGTGGTTTAAAGCCCGGGGAACAAAACTGCTCCTCTCCCAGCAAGTTATCCCTGTATTATGGGAGCCTGGGGAGATCCTTCATTCTTCTGTACTTAATTTCATAATAAAATGGGGGCAATAATATCTACTCTATTTCCTCAAGTTATTGTGACATCTTGGGGGAGGGCACAGAAAAACTGTAAAAGTACAATGAAAGATGCAGCATGGTTAGTTCAATATCCAAATGGAGGGGTGCCTATGTTGATGCAGTTGGTAGAGCATGCAACTCTTGATCTCAAGGTTGTGAGTTCAAACCCCACATTGGGCGTGGAGCCTGCTTAAAAAAATTATATCCAATTGGAGAAATATATGAAATGGCTTATTTTTCTAGTTATAAACATTTTATTTTATTTTTTTAAAAGATTTTATTTATTTACTTGAGAGAGAGCACATGAGAGGGGGGAGGGTCAGAGGGAGAAGCAGACTCCCTGCCAAGCAGGGAGCCCAATGTGGGACTCGATCCCGGGACTCCAGGATCGTGACCTGAGCGGAAGGCAGTCGCTTAACCAACTGAGCCACCCAGGCACCCTAGTTATAGACATTTTAAAGCCATAGTTATTCACTTGCCTTTCCCCTAGGCTACACTGTGTTTACCTGTTCCTCTTGACAGGTGTTTCAAAGGTGTTGTAAGAAACAAACATGTCTTCTGCAGCTCAAAGTAACCACAAGCTCCTCCGGGTGAAGCTTCTTTTCTAGGCTCTTCAGGGGAACACTTGGTGCTTTTAGGCTCTAGGGATTGAGGAGTTTATATAAACATAACAAGAAATGTATAAGGTTCAAATTATTTATATTGTCAAATCAAAGGCATAGGTATATGGCATGTGGAGGTTCGTGCTAGAAAAACATCTGAATAACGTGATATAAGACCTCTTTGTAAGGGGTGCCTGGGTGCTTCAGTTGGTTAAGAATCTGACTTGAGGGCGCCTGGGTGGCTCAGTCGGTTAAGCGACTGCCTTCGGCTCAGGTCGTGATCCTGGAGTCCCGGGATCGAGTCCCGCATCGGGCTCCCTGCTCGGCAGGGAGTCTGCTTCTCCCTCTGACCCTCCCCCCCTCATGTGCTTGCTCTCTCATTCTCTCTCTCTCAAATAAATAAATAAAAAATCTTTAAAAAAAAAAGAATCTGACTTGATCTCAGCTCAGGCCTTGATATCAGGGTTATGAGTTCAAGTTCTGCAATGGGGTCCATGCTGGGCTCAGAGACTACTGCGGAAAAAAAAAAAAAAATCGGTTGACCACAGATACCTGGGTTTATTTCTAGGGTCATGAGTTCAAGCCCCATATTGGGCTCCTACTTAAAAAAAAAAAAAAAAAGACATGTTTGTAAATAAAACATGTTATTTTAAACTCAATTCAATGATACAGAGCTCATTCTCCAAAACACATGGAGTTGCAATCGCATTTAGTTTTGAGAGAGAGAGAGAGAGAATGTACGTGCACGCATGTGGGCGCGCGCGCGTTAGAGGCCAACCATTCCTTGGTTAATCTCCAGATACTTGCATTCCACTTACTTCGTAGTAGCCCTGGAAGGTGAATAATCCTGGTTTGTTGCTTTTTTTTTTTTTTTTTAAGATTTTATTTATTTATTTGACAGAGACACAGCGAGAGAGGGAACACAAGCAGGGGGAGCGGGAGAGGGAGAAGCAGGCTTCCCGCCGAGCAGGGAGCCCGATGCGGGGCTCGATCCCAGGACCCTGGGATCATGACCCGAGCTGAAGGCAGATGCTTAATGACTGAGCCACCCCGGCACCCTTGGTTTGTTGCTCTTAAGCGGCTCCTGGGCTAGTCAGGGAGACAGACGGGTAAGCAGCACGGGGTGGGCTTTAAAAAGAGGTCTGAACAAGTTCTCTTAGGGGCAGGCAGGCAGCGGGGCCAAGGGGCCGCCTGCGTGAACCGGAGGGTTCCGTCCTGAACGAGAGGCAGGGGTCTGCCAGACCTGAAGTGGAAAAAGGGCCTACCGGGCAGAGGTAGGTGGGAAGTCCCGGGCACATCTGGCTCAGAGAAGAGGTGGGCGTTTGGTGAGGCTGACGATGGCGTTGCGTGTGGCACCGAGTGACGGTGCACGGGGCCGGGGCCAGAAGGGGCAAGGGCCTGAATGCCACTCTAGACTCCCTCCTCTTTGTAATGAGAGGCCACTGAGGAGTCTCAATCAGAAGAAAGACATAATGGGGCCATATTGTGGGAAGATTAATTTATTAAATTTCGTAAACATTAACTGAGTGCCTAGTCCCTTTTTGGCCCTATGCCTGGGTCTGGGTCCATGTCGATAGAAGGGAAGAGACAAGACTGCTGCCCTCACGGAGTTTACAGAAGGTGTGTGAGGCAGACCAGGTCGTTCGCAGTGTGGTAGGGCTATGGTGAAGTCCAGGGTGTCACAGGGGCACATTTGGGGGACACTTAAGTCAGTCCTGGAGGGTGAAACATTTGCTCTCAGGCCTGGAGAATGTATCAGAGTTGTCCAGGACGGATATGGGGGAGAAGAGAGCTCTAGAAGGTGAATAGCATAACTCTGGCATTAATTTGGGATTTGAACTATGTACTGGGTAGATAAGAGATGGCTCCTGGCTTTCATTCTCCTGTGTATTCCCTTCACCTTGAGTGTTGGCTGCAGCTGGTGAGTAGCTTCTAGTGAACGAATAGAGAAAAAGTGATGTCACAGCTGAGATTAGGTTACAAATACACCTTGGCTTCCATCTCTCTCTCTCTCTCGTTTTCCTGCTCTGATGGAAACCAGCTGCCATGTTGTGCGCTGCTCTATGGAGAGGACTACATGGCAAAGAAACCAAGGGAAGTTTCCGGCCAATAGCCCTTGAGGAGCCCAATCCTGCCAACCACAGAGTGACCTTGGAAGCAGACCCTCCCAAATTAAGCCGTGAGATGAGACTGTGGCCCCAGGCAACACCTTCTCTGCAGTCTGTGAGAGATTGTGAGACAGAAGCACCCAGCTCAGCTGCACGGGGATCCCCGCATCACAGAAGCCAGAGGATAATAAAGGTTTACTGTTTCCAGCTGCTAGGTTCAAGGGCCATTTGCTATGCAGCTCTATATAACCAATACAAACAACAGGGGTAAGGGGGAGAAAACCACAGGTCAGTAAGTTTATTCTCCATCCCTCCTGCAGTGGGGGAAGAGATGCTCTTGGGAACAGAAAGGACCTTCCCCTTAAATGCTCTAGTTCCCCTTATCTCTACTCACCACCATTACCTTGAGGTGCACCAGCCAGAAAGTGGTCTCGCCTGTTCCACAGATGGTCCAGATGGGGTAAGGCTCAGTCCTTTTCTCCAGTGGGAAAAGAAGTAGGCTCGGAGTGAGGAGAGAGAAGGAAGTGGAGCTCCCAAATGCCAGGATCCTCTTTTTGGTTTGTTTGTAAAAGTGAAATTAAGTGTTGGCTGAATTATACATAGCCAAAATGCACAAGTACTTGATCTGGACTATGTTTGTTTAATGGGGAAACAGCTACACCAAGACAGAGTAGGTGGGGAACCAAGTTCCACTGTGGGGCAGAAAAATAAAAATACATCAGAGAGAAGGGGCTCCTACTGAGCCTGGAACCTTAAGTCCATGTCCACTGACCTGGAGACCCTAGCGTCCACCTGGGCTCAATATCAGTCTTTTTCACCAGCCCCTGGACTCTCCTTGCCCAGGTCCCATATTCCAGTTAACTTGACTTTTTCCAGTTCCTTATACACAACTAGCAGGTGGAATCCATACTTCTCTGCCTGGCAGGGAAGAGTAAATATTAATATACTAATAGAAAATGAATAAAATAGGGTTCATGCCTAGTGAGAGTTTTAAGGAAGGCTTGAAGTCTGTAACTACCTTCAAATAGAATGCTGTAATAATAGACGTCTGCTGATGTGTCCCCTCTTGGGTTCCTGGATTCCAACTGCACTTAAGAGGGCTCTTTACAGTATTTCTAATATTTAAGAAGTTTTAAGGGAAATCATATAGTCATTTCTGTTATGGCCCCATAGGCTAACCAAGAGGTTATATTTTTTCTTCATGGAAACATCAGTAGGAAATCAAATGTCTTTTTGGTTTCCTAGTTTTATTGAGATATAATTAACATATGACATGGTATTAAGGTATACAGCATAATGATTTGAGAGATATATATATGTAGTGCAAAATAAATTTAGTTAACATCTGTGACCTCACAGTTACAATTTATTTTTCCTGTGATGAGAACTTTTTTTTTTTTTTTTAAAGATTTTATTTATTTATTTGACAGAGAAAGACACAACGAGAGAGGGAACACAAACGGGGAGTGGGAGAGGGAGAAGCAGACTCCCCGCCGAGCAGGGAGCCCGATGCGGGACTCGATCCCGGGACTCCAGGATCATGACCTGAGCCGAAGGCAGTCGCTTAACCAACTGAGCCACCCAGGCGCCCGAGAACTTTTTTTTTAAGATTTTATTTATTTATTTATTTGTCAGAGAGACAGTGAGAGAGAGAGCATGAGCAGGGGGATGGGCAGGCAGAGGGACAAGCAGGCTCCCCGCTGAGCAAGGAGCCCAATGATGCCCGACTTGATCCCAGGACCCTGAGATCATGACCTGAGCTGAAGGCAGACATTTGACCGTCTGAGCCATCCAGGGGTCCCGAGAGCTTTTAAGATCTACTGTCTTGGCGACTTTGAAATGCACAATACATTCTTGTTAACTCTGGTTGCCATGCAGTATGTTACATCCCAGGACTTATAACTGGCAGTCTGTACCTTTTGACCTCCTTCATCCATTTTGCACCCCCACCCCTAGCAACCACCAATCTGGTCTCTGCATCTGAGTTCGAGGAATCCAAATTTCTGATTACCCTGTAAATATATTTTGATAAGGATAAGGAATCTTTTGAAATAAGAGATCCATGAATGAAAACAAAGACAATAGGACGTTCTTGATCTTGAAGAGGTTGGGAACCACTAGTTTTGACCAGCCCCCTATGTCACAAATGAGAAAGAAGGTTGTGTGATGTGAAGTGACAGCCATTGTGTGGCAGAAACTCTGCCTAGAACCCAGGCCTCCCAGCTCTGTGTCAGCAATCATTCTACAGCCCCATAGCAACTTTCCCTTCATGGAAAGGACAGATACATTTCTTAAATGTTTGGACAAAGGCAAGGAGCAAGAAATCGTGGTGAAAATTATAGGGAGGGAAATTTTTGTTTTGTATAGCAATGAACAAACAAACAAACAATGGTTGGAACTCTTCCACCAGGAAAGATGCTTCCTTGAGGGTGTCTGGAAAAATTGTGAAACAATTAAGATGGAAAAAAATATAAAAAAGATTACCAGGTGTCAGATGGCCTGCTAGGCCTTTCTGGGTTATTTGCTTTTATTATTGAACTGTGCCTCCTATGGTCTTGTAACTATTTTACAATTCTGTAAATTGTAGAAAACTGCTGGTAATGCAAATAATTCTTGTCCATAGAGATGCAAATGAAATCTTTCTGATGGAGGTGCCATTGATCTCCTCCCACCCCCAGAAACCAGTTTTGCGTTTAACATACTCATTTCAGCATTCCTGATTGCCTGTATATGTGTGTTCTTTGGGTCCTTCTCTAAACAGTTTTTTTTTGACACCTTAATCGTTCCCTCATTAATTTCTCAGGACCCTGGGATCATGACCTGAGCCGAAGGCAGACGCTTGACCGAATGAACCACTCAGGAGCCCCTGATTTTATCTTTTTAAAAACAATTATCTTTTTTTTTTTTTTAAGATTTTTAATTTATTTTTTGACAGAGACAGCGAGAGAGGGGACACAAGCAGGGGGAGTGGGAGAGGGAGAAGCAGGCTCTTCGCTGAGCAGAGAGCCCGATGTGGGGCTCGATCTCAGGACCCTGGGATCATGACCTGAGCCGAAGGCAGACGCTTAACGACTGAGCCACCCAGGCGCCCCTAAAAACAATTATCATTAACAAGGAGGCCTTGAATGTTCCATCTCTGGATGTGTTCAGGCAGAAGCTGAATGGCTAACCCTGATCCTTATTCCAGACTCCTATGGCCCTTTCCAGACTTTAATGTAGAGCTGTTCACATATCTGTTTCCCTCAGGAGACTCTCTTTTCCTAAGGCGCGGGACCTAGCCATCCATCCCCACTAACAAAAATTTAAAGAAAGGTGGGATACGGTTTCTGACTTACTCACCTTTTCCATGTATGACCACCAGGGGGCGCAGAAACCTTCCTTTACCAAAGTCGGGAACCCACCTAAGGGAAGGCCGGGGGTGGAAGTGTAGCCTACAGGGAGCATCTGGGCTGAGAATCACAGAGTTCATCCGTCCGACCGCCTACAGACCGTATCTTTATGGGAGGCGATGAAGTCAGCATGGAGCAAGCACTACGATCGCTGAAGAGGGCAAAGTTCTGTTAGAATTACGAAAATATTTACAGCCTTTTAACCTGAATACATCTAGCACATTCTTCTCCTGACTTGAGAATTCAGTCTTGGGACTGCCAGACCCACTTGCTGAGCATCGCCCTCCGCGGGGTAGATCATTGATTCCCAAGGGGGAAGACGAATGGGGAAGAGGGAAGAGAGGGTGGGGTGGGGTGTAGAGGGAGGGGTCAGCACGAAGGTCCCGCCCACGTTTTCAGAAGACACATCCCACCCGGGAACCTCCACCGCGTAGGAACGGGGACCGCTTCAGCTTTCCGAATAGATGGTAACACACATCTCCATCTTACCACCCTGCGCTATGCGGTACGAGCCAGGCATTCCTCCTCTGTCGCCCGGGCCTCACGGCACACCGAAGTGGCTATTTACTCTGACTTACAGACGCGGAAACGGAGTCCCGTAGAGAAACGGCGACTTCCCCAAGTGGTACACGTTCTCAGCAGCAGGTGTTGTTGACGTCAACACTGGCCTGCTTCCATTTCTCGGAGCAGCCCCGATTGCCCACGGCGTCAAACCCAAATTCCTCGCCCCCAGCTGTTCCGTCCCGTCACACTCCCAGTTATTTCCTCTAGGAACACGCGTCCACGGCGCCAACCCGCAGGCCCCCGGACGGCCAGCTCCGACCCTCGGGGCGCCCTTCCTCCCGGCGGCACGCCTGGCTCTCCTCCCGCCCGCGAGGCGCAAGGCGCTTCGCCAGAGTCCTCGGCTCGCGGGACTGTGTGCGGCTGGGCCCGGCGCAGCCTGGCGCGGCCGGTGAGCGGCGGTCGGGCGGAAGGGATGGGCTCTCCAGCAGGACCTCCCCGCCCCCCGAGGGGCCAGCCGCGCGGGTCGCGGGAGCCGCGGGGGCGCAGACCCGCTCGGGCCCTTTAAGGAGCAGCGCGGGGCGCGGCCCAGGTGAGGGGCGGGCCAGCCGGGCGGATCTGCGCTGCGCGCCGGCGCCGACCCGGGAGCCGGATTTGGAGCGCGCGCGCCGGCGGGGCCGGAGGGGGCGGCGCGGCGGAGCCTCCAGTGGCCTCGGACGCTCCTCCTAGCCCGCGGCCGCCGCCCGCCGCCGCCTCTGCCTCCAGCTCCTTCGCCCCGGCCCGGCCGGCCACCACTTCCGGCCGCTCACCTGGGACGCGCTCCCCTGCCTCCGGGCGCCTGGGCACCGGGATGAAGGACCGGCTGGAGCAGCTGAAGGCCGTGAGTCCCGCCGCACCCGGGAGCTGGCGGGCCGGGGGCTGCAGCTGCGCGGGAGAGGGCTTCCCTTTGCTCCCCACATCAGGGCTAGAGGGGGCCCCCGCGCGAGGCCTGGGCTCCCCGCGCTCCAGCCGCATCTGCGCCCCTTCCGCACCTCCCTCCCCTCCTCTTCGGGGTCACGTGCCGGTGATTCATCCCTGGGCTGCGATTTCCGTGGATGCCAGCAGCTCTCCCCCCCCCCACCCGTCCCTCCCCCAAGCTGGACAGTGTCACTCCAGAGCTGGGGTCCGCAGGTGGGGGCTGCCTGAGCCCAGCGAGGTTCTCTTTGAGGTCAGGGGTCACCTCCACCTGCCTGCTACTGCCTGGCACTATGCCCAGGGGCAGCCTCCTCCTACCCTCCCTTCTTGTCTCCCTGGGCGGGGGGCGGCGTCGAATCGGGCTGCCCCTCCCCGCCAGGAGCAGCTCAGAGCTCCTGGGTGACCTCCTGAGCTGTGAGCTGGTCACATGCCAGGATGGGCCCCGCTCCTCGCCATTCCGAGGTCTATAATTATTAATTTCTCCGTCATCCTCGGGACAGCTGAGCAAAGGATCCGAAGGTGGACCGCCTCCCGTCCTACTGCACAAAAGCTGTAAAACCTCAGGCTACTTACTCTTCTGAGCGTCTGTTTTCTTATCTGTCGAGTGAGGATGATCATAACTTAGAGATTTGTTATGATATCAAATGACATAATGGGGCTTGATATGGAGAATTGTTAAAGCGTAGGTTTTTGAGTCACTGACTCATTCAACAAATAATTACTGAGCACATTCTATGGGGCAGGCCCCCTGCTAAGCCCTGGGGATTGGGTGACACAGGCTCTGTCTTCACGGAATTTTATCATTTTATTATTATTATTATTATTATTTATTCTTATGTTAATCCCCATACATTACACCATTAGTTTTCGATGTAGTGTTCCATGATTCATTGTTTGTGCATAACACCCAGTGCTCCATGCAGAACGTGCCCTCCTCAATACCCATCACCCGGCTAACCCATCCTCCCACCACCCTCCCCTCTAGAACCCTCAGTTTGTTTCTCAGAGTCCATCGTCTCTCATGGTTCGTCTACCCCTAATCACGGAATTTTAAATCTAGCCTTTGATAGATACAAAGCAGTCCCTCTGCCTGGGAGCTTGTTAGGCATGCGAAGCCTAGGCCCCTGCCTGAACCTACAAAATCAGTCTGATCACTCACGAATCTCCCCAGGTGATGCATCTCCCCAGGTGATGCAAGACCACGTTCAAGTTTGGGGAGCACAGGAATGGATAGAACTGGGCTTGCCTCCTGGCTACGCTGCTTACCCTGAGCCTAGTTTTGTCATCCGTAAAGTGTGTGGTTGTGAGGACTGAGAGCGTGAGAGAGCACGCAGAGCCCTTTGTAAGGTGCAGAGCACAGGTAGGATTAATAGATGGTAAATATTATGCTGATAGCTGTCGAAGCTCTTTGGAAAAATGCAGGCCTCCTGCAAGCATGAGGGACTGCTGGGATGGTGTTGCACTCTTCCCTTGTCTCTGGTGAGACCTTCATGCCCCTCCGGCCTGCTCTGCGTGCTCTGGGTCCTAGGGCTGCAGAGGAGGCGAGGGTGATGGGGAAGAGGAGAAGCAAAAGGCACAGCCACAGAGAGTGGGAGGGAGCCTCCCTGCCTCCCGCCTGCTTGCTCGCTCTTTGTCATCTGAGCCTCCTAGCATCCTGGTCACGGACAGGACAGATTTTATTGCCCCTATTTTTATACAAGAGGCAAGTAGAGCTCAGCTTGGGTAGGAGGGGTGTCCCAGAGCTGGGCAGGGCACAACCCGGGGAGGAACCGAGACCCCTGGCGCTCTCCACCTGACTCTTTTCTTGAGGCGTGCTGGTTGGGGAGGCAGAAAGGAAAGGTTTTGAAGCTCTTCCTCTATCGGCCAGCACACCCAGCAATCCTAAAACAGCGCAGAACTGAGCAGCGGGCAGCGGCGACTCCCTTCCTTGTGTTAGGAAATTCATTTCCAGAAGAAGATAGCCCACAGCCCCTTTCAAGCCTACTGTGAACAAAAAGCAAAGAACTTTGAGTTCTGAGTTTCCTTGCCAGGAAAGCCAAGCAAGTCCCCTTGCTTCCCCGAGCCTCATTGTTACCCTCTGTCAAATGGAGCTTCACCCCTGGGGAAGGTCAAAGTCAGCCTGAAGGCTGTGCAGTTATGGGGTGCTGCCCTGGTGTTTTGGAGCAGGGGTTTTGCTGGTAGAGCTGTGCAAAGAGGACCAGGCTGCAGGTTCAAAGGTTCTAATTGTCGCCTGGCCACCGAATAGCTGTGTTCCTTCGTTTCCGTATCCTTATCTCTCTGCTTCTCTGTTCCTCTTTTGTTAAACGAGAATTTTGGTTCATCTCAGAAGCCCCTCCTGGCAAATGTTCACGTCTTCTGTGAAGGCTGTTGTTCAGGTTTGCATGGATTTTGGTTTCTAGTCCACACCCCATCCCTGGCCCCCTGCAGGGGAGAGATGCCTTCACTGCAACAAGATAACCCCCTCTGATTCCTTTCATCGATGAAGGATGTTAGTTACCCTGTATGAAACCAGTTTCACACCGAGCAATCCTGTGTAATCTCTGTGGCATCTTTCTAAACCTTTGGGGGAGGCGAGGTGAGAACTGCCTCCAGATAGTTGGAGGGCTGTCATGTGCAGGAGATTAGCTTTCCTCCTTGTAGATAAAAAGAGAAGATTGAAGTTGATGGGTAGAACTAAGGACTCTGCACAAAAGCTTTGTCAGTAGTCAGAGCTGCCCAAGGATGGACTGGGCTGGCCAGAGAGGTTGTGAAGCCTCAAGCCTGGGGGTGAGGCAGGAAGCTGGCGGGAACGTCCAACGTTGTAGGAATTTGAGCAGCTCTTTGAGGGCTGGGGGGCAAACAAAAAGATTTCAGGCCCTCACCCACCCTGATGATGTGTGGATGCTTTGTTGTCTGTGAGCCTGTGCTAGGCACCATGAGGCTCTGGGGTTTCTAGGACCGAAGTCTCAGTTGCGCCCATAAAGTGGGTCATCGTACTTTCCCCATAGGGCCATTGTGGAAGTTGGATGAGATAATCCGAGATAATCACCTGCCATAGGACATGTGAGTTCCCCAACTTGACCTTCTGGGAGCCGCATCCACACTGAGGGGGCATACCTCCAGAGGCCAGGGTCACAGACCTGACTCATCCCTTGCCCTGCTCTTCCTGGTAGACTTAGTCAGCAGCCTGCTTCGCCAGAGAGTAGGACAGGCTTGCCAGGATGCCTACCCTCCAGCCCGTCTCACAAGGCGGTTCTTGCTGATTTCTCACTAGTCGAATTTTGGGTCTGCTGAGTCCAAGCAATTCCTGTCCCAGCTCTCTTTTCATTCCGCAAACATTTACCGACCACCTACCATGGCCCAAGCACCGGTGAAAGGTACTGGGCTATACTGGTGATTACCACCTATTCCTGGATGTTCTTACGAAGTTCAGAGAGGGAGACCCACAAGAAGCAGAAAATGATGATACCATCCTTGTGGTGGAAGCCACCATGGGAAGACCCCGTTGACTGGCCTCCGGGGACAAGGCACTAGAGAGTGGGGGGTGCTTCCCAGAAGGGATGCTTGAGCTCAAGTCTTGTTAAGACCAAGTCCCATCTCTTCAAGGAACGTAGAGTCTCCCGAGAGGCGAGGATCCGGGATTTTCTCAGGCACTCTCCCATTGGTGAGTGCTTCACTTCTTCACCACAATCAGTGCTTTGGGACTTCTATGTTCTGGGAATGCTCATCCTCATCCTTTTGGACCTCTTCCTGCTGGACATCATGTTAGGCAGAATTAGGACACAGAGTCCAGGTCTTAAAGAATAAATGGTCATGTATGAAAAAAACCCCCAAATCAAAGGTAGGTAATGATGGCAGTGATGTAGGGAATAGAGGTCAAGGACTTTGGACCTCTGGAGGACTAGAAATAACTTGGGGTACACCAGGCCCTCCGAAGCCAGTGCCCATAGGGACACACTAATGAAATCAACCATGTGGGGCTCTAAAGGCCAGACTAACTCTTTATTCTTTCTGTTCTGTCTGTCTTGCTGCATCCCCAAGGGCTCCTTGGCCTCCTGCTGCATTTGACATTCTGGGGTCTCCGTAGGACCAGAGGTCCCGATGATAAGGGTTTGAGGGTACCCCCCCTCAGAAACATGGGGCTGTACTTTCCTTTAAAGCTTACTTTGTAAAGGAAATATATATTGAACTCCTACTGTGTGCCAGGTGCTTTGGTTCATAACCAAATCTTTTTTTTTTTTTAAGATTTTATTTGACAGAGAGAGAGAGAGACAGCGAGAGAGGGAACACAAGCAGGGGGAGTGGGAGAGTGAGAAGTAGGCTTCCTGCAGAGTAGGGAGCCCGATGTGGGGCTCGATCCCAGGACCCTGGGATCATGACCTGAGCTGAAGGCAGACGCTTAACGACTGAGCCACCCAGGTGCCCCCATAACCAAATCTTAACATCCTGACTTGAGAATCTCTTTGCTGAGATTCAACCTGAGAATCTCTACATTGAGCTTCAACTTAAGAACCTTTTCCCTGAGATTCTGTCCTTTAGTGATAAGATTTCTTACTGGTCAGTGATTTCTTCCTGGGAGGATTCACCCCATGGGAGAGCAGTTTAGATGGAGCAGACAGGAGGCCCAGCTGAGATGAGTGACAGTGGATTGAGTAGGGATTACGGACTCATCAGCCAGAGGCCAGAAGAGAAAATGCTTGGTGGAGAGAAGGGGATTAGATTTATTTTTGTTCCTGGGAGTGAGGGGGAGGCCGGGGCCTGGCAGAAGCGGGGGGAGAAATGCTGGTTTGTGTCATGCTCTCTCCCCTCCCCTACTGTCAAAATTCCTACCTATCTTCCAAAACACATTCTTTACACTTACCCTAACTGCAGCCTAGATATTCTCCCTCCAGTCCAGCTGCCCATATGGGCCGTATTCCTTTGCAGCAAATGCCTTTCTCCTATTAG